TACAGAAAATATTACAATATTAAAGAACTGTTCTTGTTAATTTGATGAAAACATTTTAAATATCCAGTGCACTCACATCAGAATAACTTATAGATTTGTTGTTAGAGTAATCGATTAATCGAAAAAATAATCGTTAGATTAATCGATTAGAAAATAATCGTTTGGTTCAGCACTAGTTTCATCTACAGCAAGTAGGGGTTAAGACCCCACTGTGGGTCCTAAAACTATAAATTTTGGGTTGTTAGAGGATTTCCTGAAATTTAATTCAGTTTAAAACTGACTGCTAAGAATGTTTCTGATATTTAGATATGGATAAAAGCAATTGGTCTATTAGCAATATTTGAATACTTCAACCATAAATACTTTGGTTTATGAGTTTCTGCCAGTTTTTATTTATTTTTGTCATTTGTTTATTATGAAATTGGTCTTGAATTTAATTTCACTTGGCATTAAAAGTCTTAAAAAGTCTTAAATTTTACTTGCCTTAAACTGTAGGAACCCTGCAGTAGTTATACAGAAGACTGGGTCGATGTAGTTAATTACCAGTAATGGTCCTATAAATCATGTTACCAAACAGTATGAACTAAAGAGATTTTGAAGAGTTTTTGAAGTGATGTTCTGTTAAGTAGTTACCAATTGGTAGTACCTTATCAGCCATGACAGCTTTCCTGGAACATGGATTACAGAAAAATGCCAAAGTCTTCACTGAAGCAAATTAAAATATTATATTTTTAAGGTTATGGAAGTTTAAATTTCTACTATTGCTGATTAACTTTAAAACAAACAAACAAAAAAAACTAACAAACTAGACACTTGCATTCTCACATACACACCACAGAACTATTTAAGGTTCTGGTCTAAACCTGTCTAAATACAGTTCACAATCACCTCCCATAAACCAACAGTATGGGTATATTTTACATTTCCTGTATCCTTAGAGTCCTGTGAGTAATATTTGTATTATTTGTGGTTTAAAGAGCTGTAGTGACCTCTGTGATGTTCATAGAGATTCAGACCTTGGCTTAAATGAAAGTCAAGAGGTTTTTCTTTAAAGTGATACGAAACACTATTTCATAAACCTTTGAATAATGACTGTACCATGAGTCCAAATCAGACATACACAGTGTKAAAGACGAGAATTTATCCTAATGGGTTGTTAACTTAATGAGCTGGTAATTGTGACTAAGCTACCAGTTTAGAAGGGCTCTTCAAAAATTTGATTAAGCTTTGCTACCCTGAGTTGGACCAAATGGTTGAATTTTGGTTTCTGGCCGAATGACTAATGAAATGAGGACCCACTCTTCTGCTTTTTCAGGCTTATCAAACAACTCTTTCAAGAATAACAACTCTGTTTGAAAAAGTGCTACATTAGCTTAAACCTCTAAACATTTGCATGACAGTTTTAGTTTATCACTGTTTGCCCAACAGAGCAACATCCATGTTACTATGCAAATGAATGTGAGCTGAGCATAAATAGATTGTGGATCTGCTGATAGTGCTGAGGCTGCAACTGTATCAGTCCATCAGAAATTGAGTAAACATGCTGATCAGGCCTCTTAGCTTTTGTCGGTGCACTATAATTAATACTGAGCTGAACTAAGCCATTATAGTTTGGTTGAAGGACCACAAATTCTAGACGTTGGAGAAACTAATACTGATACAATCGTTAATGTGTCTTGTTCATCTTTGTAAAAACTCATGTTCTTAACTATGTTAAGACTGTTGCTTGGTTCATATGTTTGGTTAAAAAATAACCCGTCCATATTGTTAAGATGAGGACTTGCAGTGAATATAGTGGTCTAGTAAATTAGACAGTTAAAACACATTAAAAGTTCATAACTCACCCTTATTGTTGTTGTTGCACTCTGTCTCACATTAGCAGCTGCTGCTCTCTCCGCGAGGGAGGGGGCGGCAACGTGCACTCACGTGACCCAAAGAATGGATCTGCCGCACGAACGGACTTATCGGCCGATACCGATACAAGGAAAAAACACAAATATCGGCCGGCCGATGTATCGGTCGACCCCTAGTCATTATACCACTCTGTGATGGAACAAAGGCTTCGGGTACTCACACGTATGCTGTTGTTATTCTGACAGCTGAAGGTTTTGCTTTGGCAGGAAAGGTTTAGATCATCTGTGGCCATAATTCTTACTTTACAATCCTWTCTAWAATCACTATTATGTTTTGTTTTGCAGGCTATGCCTTTGTTCACATGGAAAATAAAGAAGATGCTCTTCAGGCTATCGAGGCTCTTCACGGTACCTCCTTCAAAGGTCGACCCCTTTCTGTAGAGCTTTCAAAGGTCCAGCCCAGCAAGCAGGCGCCGACAGGGAAAATCCCGTGTGTGAACTGTGGGAAGCAGGGCCATTACGCTGGAGAATGTCCTGTGGGGAAACCATCTCTGGAACAGTACCAGAGTCAGGCAGCAGTCCTGGCTGCTGCCGCCGCGGCAGCTGCGGGCCTACCTCTACAGGTCCAACAAAGTGTGCACAATTCAGTCTACAACACCTCCACCTTTGACCCCACATACGCAGCTCTCACAGGGATTACCACTGGCACACGTACTGATGGAAACCCAGTGAATCCAGCTGTTTATGGTGCTCTTGCCAGTCAGGTGTATGGTGCCAATGTTGCCAATCAGCTCTATGGGTCAGTGGCCAGTCAAGCAGCTCTTACGTCAGGCGCCACACAGGTATACAGTTCAATGGCACCCAATATCTATGGCCAGGTGGCTGCGTCGCCAGCAGCCGCAGCAGCAGCAGCCGCCGCCGCCGCCGCCTACTCAACGCCAGTGTACACCCCAGCTGTGGCCAACCCCCCCGTCTACCTGGCTGCTGCTCCAGGATTAGAAATGCCAGCAGCAGCAGCTGCAGTCAACCCTGCTTACTCTGTAGCTCCTGCAATTTATGGTGCTGCCACACCAGCCTACGCTCACATCAGCGCCATGGGAGCAGCAGACCCTGCTGCAGCCATCTTTGAGGCAGCCAGGCAGGTTCATTACTTCACCCAGGGCCAGCAGTTTGTGGCGGATCAGCAGACAGCAGCTGCAGCTGCAGCAGTGGCTGCAGCAAAGTCTGGCGAGAGGGACCGTAGTCCCCTACGGCGGTCTGCGCCTCTACTTCCAGACCCTGTGATGAAACCTTTTATTTACCAGAGGGCCAAACCACGCAGGCCCCTTCTCCCTACACCAGCTGGCCGTGCAGCCGAAGAGGCAGTAGAGGCTGCAGAGGATCCCATGGCCAGGTAGGACACGACTATCCACTGGCCCACTGAAAATTTACCACCAGTTGGATGAACTAAACTCTAATTGACTGTTAGGGTTTTATACTTTCCTTCATTTTATTTCCACCTTATTCTCGTCTATTTTAGGTACTACGCAGAGTACTACCAGCAGCTGCAGCAGTACCCTCAGTTCCAATATGCCTTCCCACAGAGCACAGTGACAGCCATTGCTGGCATGCCAGGGGTCTCAGCAGTTCCCACCGTACCTGCGTTGTCTGCCCAGCCGGTCGCCACGTTGGATGCGCTCAGGCCAGTGGTCCCCACTGCTGCGGCAGTGGCAGCTGCTATTGCTGCACCCAGGGTGTATGAGCCGCCGTTGCCGCCGCCCACACGCAAGGAGGCCATCCTCCACCGCCCTGAACTCTCCCTTCACACACCTGAGCCCCCCTTCCGATAGTTGCACTCAACTGTCTGCCCCACCCTCCTCTCCCTCTCTGCCCCGAACCCCACCCCACATACCTTTTTTCCACTCAAAACCTGACCACCGCTGTACGTATGTGTGTTTGTATGTGTTTGTGTGCCTGGGGGACTCTCAAGTGTGCAAGCTGGGCATTTTAAACTAGGGGCCCTTTGGTTTGTCGATGTGCTTCATGAGGAACTCGATCGGCTAACCTTGGTCCAGTTTGCGCGCACACAGTGCAGCCTAAAACTGGAGGCTCTCATCTGTTGTAAGGGCATTCTTTGCGCTTCTTTCTTTTACCTTTTCATTGTGCCAGTCTCACACTTGTGCCAGTATTAGGCTGACCCAGTCAGTTATTTGATATGCCTTTATTTCAGCAATCCAGTTATGATTTTCTAAGGCCAAATCTCCAGTAAACCACATCAGCCATTTTCCTGAGGCCTAGATGATCAGTTTGGGCAGCTAATTTTAAACCTTTTTTGCCTTATGTTGATGAGTTTGTAACCTAATCAGATGGGAGGTCCGATTGACACACATTGTGTCCTGGCTGCACTGTACTGCGTCCTACAGAACCAAGGTTGATTCATTTCGCGGGATGTTTGTCTTGGATGTGATGCGTGTGTGTGTAAACGATCGGAGGTGTGCGGGCTCCTGACCTTGCAACGCACAAGTCGCTGCAGCTAAGACTGCACTTTGCTGAGGAAAAAAAAAAAGAAAAAAGTTAAAGCACACATATACGTACTGTAACATTTGTTCGAATCTCTCCTCAACCTTTTCTCCGAATCCCATCCCTCACCTTTAAACTACAACACCGCAAGACATTGCTTCATCTCTTTCTTTATTTATTTTTTCTAACTTACAGCTGCCTACCTCTTGTGTAAGTTTCATAGATTGTAATTTGTTCAGTGTTACTCAGTACATTTCATCCTGTCAGCTGTGTTTTTGTAAAGCTTTGGTTTCAGTGTTTCAATAGGCAAGACAGATTTCATTTGTAATTTTCTGTTAAATATATTTTGTACATAGTTCTATTATAGTGTTCAGAGGCCTTTTACAAAAAAGAAATAATGTGTTTTGTTTGCATCACTATAGTTTACATATTACCTGGGATGTAATGAGTTGTAAGTGGAGGGTTAAAATGTGTAACTACTGAATTAGTTGTTTACAAAAGGATCTTTGAATTCATTCTTTTATAAATCCTGAATTTAAGTGACAAGGTCAGTTATGTGCCTATACACATTGAGTGAAGTGCATTATGCGGAGACATCTCCCATTTTTAAGTGCTTTTGACATTACTTTGAGGAAATATTTTAGGTGGTTTTGTCAGAGCTTAGACTCTAAGCTACAAGTGGTGAAACTTTCTCTGTGACTTGCGCATCTGTATTACATTTGTTTTTATATCAAATGGTTGTACAAAAGCCACAAACCTGAGCCTTGTGGGCTGAAAATAAGCCTTTGTTTTTAAGCAGAAACAACAGTGATAGCACCAATGAAGTGAGAGATGAAGCAGTGTCTTCCTGTGCCCCCAGAATATATATATTTTCTATTCTTTACCTACTGAACCTGGTTTACATTCTAATTGCAACAAAATGTTTTAGCGCTTTTTATTTAGTAGTTGAATCCTTTAGGTAGGATTTGTCACCACCACAAAACAAATAAAATTGGACTTACATGTGCTATTTTACATTCATGCTGAAGTCCTAAAGATTGTGTCTCAATGGGCTGTGACTGATGGTTACCAGTTGGAGACGTAGTTGCGATAAAATTGCAAATTTTCACTGGAATCCTGCGAATGATGTGCAAATGTTCTGTTGCATCTTAATCCCAAAGGTTATCAATTTTATCAGTTAATTCTCTTTATTTCATCTTCAATCAGTCGCAATATGGTTTTATTGGTTGCAAAACCTTCAACCTTGCAATGTCGCTAAGTGAGTCATAGAAGTTTTATGGTCCAGTCTACTTGTATTTTGTAGACCTGGACGAGGTTTATGACCATGTTCCTCAGGATTCCTGTGGTAGGTGCTGGGAAAGTGTGGGGTGCCATGGTTGCTTCTAAGGGCTATCTGGACCCTACATAACCAAAGCAGAAACTTTATCTGCATGGCACAAAGTCAAGCTCATTCTCTGTTCAGGTTGGACTCTGCCAGATATTTCACTTGTCTCTGGTGCTCGTTGTGGTTGACATTGACAGGATGTCAAGGCGCAGTCCATGAGAAGGTAGGTTGGGAACCTCGGCTTTGTTTTATGCAGATGATGTGGTTCTGTTGGCATCTAAAAGCCACAACTTTCAGCATGCACTGGGGTGTTTCACAGCTGAACTGGAAATGGGTGAATCTGGGCATTTTGTTCACAAGTGATTGTAGGATGGAGCCGGAGATAGATTGACAAATTGAGGCCTCATCCTCATTAATGAGGGCATTACATTGATTGGTCTAGGTGGAAAAAGATCCAAGTTGAAAGGGAAAGCTCCCGATGTTCTGATTTGTCTGCGTTCCACTCCTCACCTGTTAGAGGTKGACCGATACATCGGCCAGCTGATATTTTTGGACGATATTTGCGTTTTTTTCCTTGTATCAGTATTGGCCGATACATTCGTTCATTTGGCTGATCCACTCCTTTGATCACACGAGTGCATGCATTGCGACTCCCTCCCTGAGAGCGAGCGGCTGGTAATGTAAGACTGAGTGCCAACAACAACAAGGGTGAGTTTTCAACTTTTAATTTATTTTAGCTGTCTCATTTAGCTTTATCTGCCCTCTGTCTTGGACTATGAGCTTTTAAATTTCTAAAGAGCAAGCAAAGCGCCACTGTCCACCATGGGCATATGTAAACCAGACACTGCTGATGCACTCATATCATGTACTGCAGTCTAAAGCTTGTTGTTAATGTCAGCTGCAATCTTTGCCCAGTTTTTTAAGAAATGGCTGAAAAATGAAGCCTAAACCAGAAAAGGCTCAGTTAATAAATGTTTCGTTTAGTTTAAATTGAGACTTTTGTGACATTTCTTCTTGTTATTTTTATCATGTTAATGGAGGAAAAAGAAAAGGAGCATCGGCTTCAAGAATCGGCCAAAAAAATGCACACGTATCGATGTATCGGTTAGACTGAAATAAGTGGTATCGGCCTTCAGAAATTTGTATCGGCTAATCTCTATCACTTATGGTCATGAGGTTTAGGTCATGACTGAAGGATCAAAATTTTGGATGCAAGAAGTCAAAATAAGCTAACTTCGTAGGGTGGCCGGGTTCAGCCATAGAGYTAGGGGGAGGAGCTCCATCATCTAGTGAGAGCTTGAAATTGAGCTTCTGCTCTTCTGCATCAAAATAAGCCAGTTGATCTGGTTTGGGCATTTGATGATGACCCTCCCTTTGGAAGTTTCCTTGGCATGTCCTACTGGTAAGCAACCCCAAGGCAGACAGAACTTGCTGGATGGATTATATATCCTTTCTAGCATAGGAACGCCTTGGGATCCTCTAGGAGGAAATGGAGAGGGTTTCTCTCAGCAAGCCGACCACAGATGAACAGTAGGAGATGGAGGCCACAAATCCCTCCCCACGTTATCTCACACTTCTTGCACTTCCTGATTCGTGGAAACTAAATTGAGAAAAATCCAAGATGTGTTCCAGACGTTTGCAACAACTATTTAAAGAGTATTTTTGTTGTGCAAATTTTTGGAACACGTTCAAAATTCCAGCGACAAAAACAAGGACCTTTAACCGGCGCAATGAAATTTAGATTCCACACAAGTATTTGGAAACCACCCCGCGAATGCCAGTCACAACTGATCACTAAAAATTACAACCCAATGAGATACAAGTCTATTTGGCAAACTTCATTTGTCTAGTTTTACAATTGCTTAAAACATTCAGATTATTTGATTTGATTTCTTCTTTTTTTTGTTTGCAACTACAGTTTTACAGTAGTAAAACGCACACACAAACAGACCCTCTGAATTCACCTGACTGCCTCATTGTTTCCCGTTCCCACCCACCCCTCCTCCTCCAGTGGTTTTTAGTAGTTAAGTGACTTTTGCATGTCACAGTGTAAACTTTGTCTCGTATATATTCAAACACATACCAGTTGCATCCTTTGTAGAATTATGTGGTTTGCGAAATGTCTTGTTTGCCATGTGTTTTTTAGAAAAGTATTTTAATGTAGCCCTTTTTTATAGAAAAGAGTGGGGGGAAGAAAGGACAAGTAAAAAATAGCATGCTTTTTATTGAGATTATGTAAACTATAAAACCTTATAATAAAGAATGTTTGGCTGACTACTGTGGTACAAGAAAGCAAAGGGTTTGGACATCTCGCCTTCTTCTTGTTTTATGCTCTCCCTCACTATCTGTTTCTCTTGTGTAAAATGACCACCAGACCCACTTGACTGGGGATCCAAGGGGAGACAGGTGTAGATGCTGGCCCAGCTTTGCTCTCTTTGGTCAGGGTAAGTTTGGGTTGGAGCTCCTTCCTCTCTGCAGCCTCTCAAACAAGCAAAAAATATATAAACATGGTTGTGCTTTTCTGCCGTGTTTTTATGCATTTGCTGCAAAAAGTCCATAATGTGGTCCTTAAAAATTGATTCCCACCTGTAAATTATACATGATTTATAGATAAAATGATATTGAGAGAGCTGGGGAGAGGCACACAGATAGAATGGCCTGGGTGCGTTTTGATCTGTGGAGCGGTCCCTTTTCCTGGGGTTTGATGGGTGTGCGTCTGGTCTGGTCTGGTCTCTCCCTGCTGCACCAAATTCTCCCTTTCCGTGTGTCTCTATGTTCACTTCCACTCTCAGAACCTGCATGTGCGATAATCTGTGACTCCGCAAAAAAAAAAAAAAAAGCCCCACCCTCGACAGTCCAGCTCTGAACTAACTATCTCAACTGAATTAGGTGACCATGCTACCTGGAATGGCCAACGTGCAGCCATGGGGACAACTTTAACACCACCACAGCAGGAACTTGTCGCTCTCTCCTCACCATCAAGGTAAATGACCCAAAAACGAAAAGAAAAAAAATCATAAAAACGCTGACCACTCTTCCCCACCCTTTTCCTTTAACTGTGCCTTGATAACACTCCTCCTCCTCCTCCTCCTCCTCCCCTCTGCCATCACCACCTCCTCTACCCAGTTTGTAACCTCGTCCTCTACTGCAATGGCAGTGTTTGTACCTGTAACCTTGGGTTCTCGGTGGGAGTGATGGGCAGGCTGGGATGGGATGGGGTGGGGTGAAGACCCCCTCCATAAGGCTGATTCTGATCCTCGGCAGACAAAGCGATGGATGGCGCCCTCTAATGTGTCCTGGTGGTGTTTGAGCTGGTGAATACATGGTGTGATGTATCATTGGTGAGCTGGTGTGTGCTTAAAACAAAAGGAGGATGCATTGTGGGTGTTGTTTCATTGATTGGCGAGGCTTGGCGTATGCAGGCACAGCCCCCCCACCCTCACCCCCCTGCCCGCTAGTCCACTCCTGTCCACCGCCGTCTTCGCCGCCCTCAACCCCTCTCACCCTTCTCCCTCCCACTCTCTAACCCCATCCTGCTGTCCCTTTGCGCATTTTTTTCCCTCCGCCGTCCATGCACACAGCGCTTCTTTTCCCCCCCGTCGCCATCGCCGCCACCTTGGATCTCAGTTTGTGGCTCTGGCTCGGAACTCAACTTCCCAGAACCACCCACCTGACCCAAACACTCTCCTTTGTTACCATAGAGGTCTGGGTGTGCCAAGGAACTGTGTGTGTGTGGTGGCTCGCCTCTGGACTCTTAAAACCAGTATAAGAGACTTCAGTGTTGGAGGAATCGCTTTGCTGAAACTGCTGAATGGTGGGTTTGCTCAACATGGCTGTGGAAGGAATCTTAACTTCAGTGTCCTAAAAAGAACTAGTTAATTACACGTGAACTAATCTCAAACTAAAGATGCTGACAGTTTAATTCCATTTAGGTCCCTCCCATCTTATTTGCCAATCAGAAACGTCCTATAAGAAAGGCCTATATTTGTGGTATGAGGCCAGTTTGACTGCAGATTCTTACCAATCTCAGGATTCCTATAGGACTTTTCTGGTACGGCTTTGAATAACTTATGTGATTTCTTTTTCTTCCCTACCATGTGCCGAGGTAGAGGGTTCAATCTTTACACACAGTTCCTCACTCATTTGCTTTCAGTGTATTATAAGTTGTCTGGCACTTGCTCTGGTAGTTTTTTTCAGGATGAGAGCGAACCAGAGATGGCCTTGTTTTTTTTTTTTCTGCCTAACAAACAAAGTGAAATGAAACAGAAAACGGTGAAATGAATAGGATGGTTGATGATGAGGTGAGTTGTTGGTGCAATGATTCGTGGTATAAAGCTACACACACCCTAACCCTGCCTCCCTGATCGTGGAGGACCATAATATGTCCCAAAAAATGTGTCTTTTGTCTTTGAGGTGTCATGATATTGGATACATTTTATCTTTCTTTAATGAAAGTGATGGTTCTGATCCTGTGAAGTGGGGTTCTGTGGAAAGGTTGGGTATATTTACTACATTGCCTGTCATAAATAGCTCTTTAATAAGAAAAACATTTCTAGTGTGCACAACTCAAATTTCCTTACAAAAAGGGGAAAAGAGTAAATGGGTGCCCGGTTCTGAAGAATCATAAAAATGGGATAACCAYCACTCCAAAAATTACCATGTTTTTAATCAGGGCAGAAAACAGGACGCGTTTCAGCTACATGCTGTTGTCGCGAAACGCATCCTGTTTTCTGCCCTGATTTAAAACATGGTAATTTTTGGAGTGCTGGTTATCCCATTTTTATAAATAGCTCTTTAAACAACATGAGGTTGAAGAAATATGGCTGTTTTGCACTGCAAGGTCATACATGTCTGCATTAGCCGTTAAGGCCTCATTCCAGCCCAAGTTCAGGAACTCAAAAACCAGTGGTTCTATTTGGGTCAAGCTGCTCAGCCCCATTTGACATCAGCTACTGTTGCCCATTGATTGGTTCAGTGACTGGGTGGGGTCACATCACACAGATGAGATTAACATGAATCATTTGCAATGACTAACAATTTTTCCCACAAGTTAACTATACAGCACTTGTAGCACAGTAACATTAGCTACCATTAGCTTACCGGCCTCTGTCATCTTGTCCTCTCGTCTTCAACATCATACTGCTAGATGGTCCYGTACAGATTGATATCGTCGATTGTTGTGTTGCTAATAAGGTGACATAAGATTTGCACTTTTTTGTTGTGATGATCCCCACCCACATCATGACAACACTCTGTTTAATGCAAACACAATCAGGGCTGACTATGGCCAAAAAAATGTCAGTAGTTTAATTCTGAACAGACTGTTGGACTAATGACATAATAGAGTGGGATCAAGACCAAAGCGAATTGTTTCTAGCTGCGTTTCCATTGACTATGAAAATGTGCAAATTAGGATTTCGAAAATAAAACTTCTCAATGGAAACACGTCAGTTTCGAAAAAACGTCCTTTTTTCGACAAAATGTTTTTGCGCTAGGATAAGTTGGTTTTTCGTCCTTATCGAAATTGTTTTTTTTTTTTTTTTTTTCGCAAAACTACAATAGAAACACCTTTTTCGCATCACGGGAGTCACGTGATCAACAACCAGCTGTTTCTACTGGCGAAAAAGATGATGAAGAAAATGGGAAGTAGAAGTAGTACTAAAATCACTGAGGTAGTAAAATAAAGTAGTAAACTCACCGACTACAATTTCCCAAAAACGCTGCATACATAGCTTTGCTCCCAAGTATAAGGGGCTTGTCGCTCGAAAACCTTAATAAGATGCCGATGTCTCCTCTGATGATGAACGCTAGTGTTGTGGTAGCAGTAAGCATGTGTTTAAAGCCATGTTTGTAATGACATATCGTGAGAACAAACTTATTCACGCGTGACTTTAATAGCATTTCTTACTTAATGGAAACACAGCAAGTGCAAAACTGTGTTTTTCCGACTAACAGAATATCGACAAAGTTTTGCGCATATTTGCAATGGAAACGCAGCTATTGTCTTAACCCTCCAGCTGCCCTCGGGTCAAAATGACCAACAAGGCCTTGTTGGTCATTTTGACCCACCTTTGCACTTGTTAATTTTGCATGAATAGATCAAAACCTCACTTCCAAAGTTCTGAACCATCACTTTAAGTGCAAATATCAACTGGAAATAATCACTCATATAAACTAATTAATTGTGAACTTAATCCACATTTTGTATATAACCTAAGTAAGTTCACATTTTACAACACTTATCTGTGTACAGTTAGGAAGTTCTGCAACATGCCACCTATGCCTCCTGAATCCTTTCCCAGCCTCCATGATCAGGGCACATCACATTCCAGTTGTTTTCCCTCCCAACACCACATCCTCTTCACTTTCCTAACTCTTCACTAAAAGCTTCTTTCTGGTTGCTTGTGAGTCTGGGCTTCCGTGCTTGGGTAAATGCAGCCACGCATTTTTTTAAAACCCTGCTCCGAAATCACAGTCGCACTGTACCGCCAGCTGAAGCTCACTGCAACCTCCTACCTTACTTTCACTCCTTCATTCAAACCAATCCTGCCCTCCACCGACCTTTTGTTGTTTTAGCTGAACAGTTATGCAGATTACGCACGTTTATTTGRAGAATGAACAGGATCCTGAAAGTTACACTGTTCTCCTGTAGCAGATATAAACTGAGAAGTCCCAGTTATGTGCATCTGACAAGTTAAAGTTCCATCCATATAGACCATATTCTTTTTGTAATTACAGGTAAACACTCACAAGGTTTTATTAATGTGACRTTTCTAGCACAGGTGTAAACAAATGCAACAGATACCCATCCTATTTTAAGAATAGGGTCTTACGTCAGACATTTGGAAAGAGTATAATTTACATTTCAGATTCACCTCACACCGAAGCTGAGCAAGTGTTACCATGATCTATTTCAAAACTTGCAGTGGTCAGATCAGACATTTCAAGTTTCTTTTCCCCTCGAATCATTCGAGACAGTAATATAACCATAAAAAGTCAAYCAGTGGCTAAGCATCTTTAAGTAGGTTAATGGACCAATCGTAGTGTAGTTACACCGAATGTCTGATTAATTACAGGATGAATAAGTCTAGAGTCCAAAGACGTTGCTGTCTGCTTCGTAATTTGCTGTCTCAAGAGAATAGCTATCTGGATCTGGGATCTGCCTATCTCAGTACAGTTAGTTCTACAGAACTGAATGTGAACAGATTTAAATTGCTAGAGCAGATATGTTTACTGTGAATGACAAATCCCTAAACAGACACGTTATATACCATTTAACCTGTATTTTTGAAAATGT